CACTCGCAACTAATTTTATTTCAGAAGCAGCACATCATAACGTGTGGAAAGGTATACATCGGCCAGACGGGTCGATGTTTGAATACCCGACTTTTAGAACACAAGCGATCATTAAGAACTGACATTCATTCTCACATAAAGAGACACTGTTCCCAGTGTGGCTGCTCACCACTGTTCAGTGACACGACCGTAGTCTTTCGTCATGGAAACCAACTAACCAGAGAAATTGTCGAAGCCTTCCACATTAAAAAAAGAAAAGAAGGATGCATTAGTCAGTCATCGGTTTCGTTAAGTGACCGAGAAGCCAGCTACCTCGAAGGACTTAATTGAGATCAGTGTTTGCACGTGTCATACTCTCCTTTTTGTCGTTTCAAAATTTTGTTTCAAACACGTGTGAATTCCCGCAAACTTTTTTGTTTTTTTTTATTTGATGTTATCCAGGGCTGTTTTTAGTTATGTCATTTTGAAGTGTAAGCGTAACTGCCGTGTACTATCGCTTGAGTCTGCGCAAAAGCTTCTGTTGGCATTGATTCAATGTTCGTAGTTCTTTTCTGTGTCGCTAGGGTTATGGGTTATATATGATGTGCTGCTTCTGAAATAAAATTAGTTGCGAGTGTAGCGAGTGTCGTGTGTTCTTGTCCTCTTCGTCCCCGTGAAAATTGCGCTACTACACCATATGGTTAAATGATGTCTCACCAACTAGCCCAGCTCTCAACCCTACTGAATTTCTTTAAATAGCTTCTTCTATATCTTTTGGTTCAGGGAGCCAGGCGTCGTTGCTGTCTGGTATTGCGGCTCGACGCCGAGGCGTCGTGACACCGCCCGGGGCGGTGGACGCCGATCGCTCGGTAAGCTGCTGTGTGCGGCGAGCGATAGGGCCACCTAACAGAGTGGACGTCTCCTCGCGGCTGCCTCTTCTGCGCCTAGGCTGGGTGCTGGGTGGATGCCGGTTGTTGCCGAGCGACTCATTAGGCCTAAGGCTCTGCGCAGCCGCCTGTCACACGTGGCACAACTAGGTGGATCGTGGCGTTGAGGTGTTGCGCTCTGCTTCCCTCACTTTTTTTTTTTCTTGTGAGCACGAGTTAGAAAAAGTGATTTTTGTTTTATTTTGATGGGTGTCTCGGCCGCCACCGATGTTTTAGCTAGCAGTACTGACCATGTACCACGTGGACGAAAAGCTCGAAGCTCCCTTCCCGAGGACCTGCTCGATTGTTTTCTTTCAAGTTTTTTTGTTGTTGTTATTGATGTATTCAGTGGGAGGGATGTCATCCACGGCCGGCTGTCCTACACATCGTCAGCGTCGCTGGCCAGGAATGCAATCGTGAGGTCGGGCGATGGAGATGCCTGGGACCTGCCCAACTGCCTGCAGTTCGGCGCCCTCGCGAGTGCTGGTCGCAACTGGAAGACGTGTCAGCGCTAGCGACGGATCGTCGCGCCGACGGCAACGTTGCTGTTGTGGGGCCGGTACTGAGGTGAAGTCTAGCCGGACAGTGCAGCAGTGTCGACCAACGGCGGTGTCGTGGTGCAAGGACATTATGGTCGTGCGATATCATTTTTTTTTAAAGCTTGTGTAGCTAATTTTTGATTTCGGGATATGGTTTGATTTAAGGTTGGGGGAATGTGGGGGGTGCTGACAGCCCCCCTGTAAAGTTGTCTGCGCCAAGGCTTTATTTCGGTGGTGACCACCGCCGGGCGATAGATGGCGTTGTGTTCGCTTTGAGTACCACTTTTGGTAGAGTGGTAGTGCCGGCGGTGGCCCCTGGCGGAAGGCGGGCCTTGGTGGTGGGCGAGAGTTGAGCGAGCCTCTGCTGCGCGTGGCGGCTGCCGCGAACCGTTGTCTGTAGCGTGGGTCCCCGGTGCTCGGCACCGCGGGCTTCGCGCCGGGGTCCCACGTGAAAAGTCAGGCGTTGGCGAAGCCGCCTTAGGTATGTGTTAGTGTGTTGGGTTTGTTAGTGTGTGTTTATCCTGTTATTGTGTGTTTAGTGTGTCATTGCGTTATGTTGTTTGTATGGTAGCGTGTTAATTAAAATTGATGTAACATTCAGCGAACGATATCGTCGTCTAAATTAGTTATTAATGTATGTATGTTGTGTGCTTTGTACCGACCGCGTCTGCTGTGTCCATTCACTCCAAGAGCGTGGCGTGGTGATGCGCTCGTTCGCCTCGCCGAGACCCCACAGCGTGACACCAAGTGTTTCGATCACCGGATCTGGCACTTCCATGCCTTATGCCGAAAAAGAAATTATAAACGACCCCAAAAGACAATGAAAACAAGGCTAAAGAAGTTAAAGAGTGCATAAAGACACTTCTATTTATTATTCTAGAGCGTTCTGAAGAAAACGCAAGTGTTGAACTTTCTAGGCATATTTTCTCGAAATAGATTTTTATAGGCTTGTGCAAATAATTGAATGCCTCGAATGTTCAAATGAACATTGCAGGATTCTAATTTGCTTTGAATCGAGTTAAATTATTGAAAAATTTGAATTATTTGAAACAAACGAATAGTTGCATAGTAGTCTGCATGTGGCACCCTATAAAGACAATTTCACTGCAGTGGAGTGGTGCTAAACCGTGAAAACGCATACCCAAGAGCAATTCGCACTGCCACGAAGCCCCACTGCAAAGTTAAGTAAAGATTTGTGGGGTTTAACGCCCTAAAACCGCTATATGATTATGAGAGACGCCATAGTGGAGGGCTCCAGAAATTTCGACCACCTGGGTTCTTTAACATGCATCCAAATCTGAGCGCACGGACCTACACTACTTTCCCCTCCATCGAAAATGCAGCCGCCGCAGCCGGGATGTGATCCCGCGACCTGAGGGTCAGCAGCCAAGTACCTTAGCCACCATACCACCGCGGCGGGGCTTAAGCAAAGATGTTACCTCCCATCAATTCATTTTATTTCAAGTTAAAAATGTTGGTAAACTGACTTGCTTGCTCTAAGTATAGCAAATTTTTAATATAACATATTTTACAGGCTATCTACCGAAAGTCAAATTCTGCTACCTATTTACCGCTTTCTTTGATGCAAAAAAATTGTATTTGCACTGGCCTTGTCTTAATTTTCTAAAAATATTGTGCAGGTTCGTTAGGTCATGACAAATATACCAATTTTTCTTTATAATATACGATATATGCTATTCGAATTCGATTCCAAATTATTTGACCAAGGTGACTCTTCTTTTCGAACTCACTTCAAACCTAAAATTCACTATTCGCACAAGCCTAGATTTTTATGCTAGTTGTGGTGCTGAAGAAAGCTGAAACTCAAAGACAGCTCATTAAATCTGTGTACCATTTTTTTTTTTTATTCTGTTTCTCAATGAATTTTCCAGGGTGCCACAAGGTCCTTTCTGTTTAAATTCATTCTAGGTGAATCTGATAACTACCATCTAAATCAGAACATTTTTTTGGAGGGGAAATTAAAAAAAAAAAACATTGTAATACCATGGGATCAGAGATGACCACAATGATTTGCAGCTTTCTATTATGTCCTGAAATTTCTCATGACTCTTCCTCAGCTGGCACTCATGTAAAGTTAAACCTCAATAACTCTGCAACTAAAAAACACACCTTCATAAAAATTTGCAGTTTCCCTAGCTTTAGTGTAGTGAACATGCCCTCAAAGTTTCATCCCAATGTCTTAAAAAATAAATTGTGGTCTTCAGGTAGCCTCCCCCCTTACTATCATGTAAACAAACACAATTCAGCCTCTGCATTGCCTGAATTATTATGAGATACCTAAAAAACACAACTTAATTGCATGTGTTTCATCAACCAAGACACTTTCAAAAGGACTTGTTTTTGGGCTAGTAGGTACATACTTGGTGCAGAAGACTGAGGCGCAAAAAACATATCGTGAAGCAGGAAGAGCAGGGAGTTCGTTCTTTCTTCTCTCCCGCTCTTCCTGCTTCACAATATGTTTTCTGCGCCTCAGTCTTCTGCACCAAGACACTTTCATGTCATAAGAATATGCCAATGAACCCTGAGTAACTTGTTTTTTCTGCATAAAACTTATGGGGTGGAGTACATGAAGTGCTAAAACAAAACTAACCAATAAAAGTCCATAACAGACCTGTTACTGCCGTCACTAGGACAAATATATGTTCCATAGGTGCACAGAAAAGGTTGCCACAAGTCACGCTCTACCAGGATTAACAAGCATGTTTAAAAGCAATAGCCAAAAATTCGCATGGAGCCTGCGTGTGAAAATCAACTAGGGGCACACGAAGAAAAACATAGCAAGTGATGGACGCTTCAAGTGAAAAGGTGCTAAATAAAAAAATGGAAAAGACTGCAATAGCCAAGATGAAATAATCCATAAAGTTCTCTCAAAAGTTTGAACATGAACTAGATTGCCCAAAACTTCTGCTAGTGCTTTTTTTTCCCCTCTTTCTGTCAGTGTGTAGGACGGACGGACGGACGGACGGACGGACGGACGGACAGACAGACAGACAGACAGACAGACAGACAGACAGACAGACAGACAGACACAGAACTTTAGTGAAGTCCTTAGGAGTAATAAAAAATTATTCAAATGGCATTGAAGCTTAATATTTGTATTCCCTTCACACTCAAAATTATGCTATTTACATAGGTCTACAAAAAGCCTACTAGATATAGTGCAAAAAGATAAGAAAGAAAAGATGGTTGTGGTCTCCATTTTAATTATGCTCACTTTAGTTGCAATTTTTCAAACCAGAACAATAAATCTGAGGTTAGTTTTGAGAAAGAAAAATTTGATAAGTCTCAAAACGCTGTCTCAAGAAACTTACAACACACCATGTGTGTGTGGGAGCTCAGTTTTGAAGGTCGTGTCCAGAATGCACATTGTAAAAGTGATGCATCATTCCAGAGAGCAGTAATGATTTTCAGTGTCGGTATCAAGCCCTGTCTACTTTTGCAAGCCTTCTGGGCAGCATCCTTTCAGTGTGAAGTACTGCATGGAGGCCCCTCTACGTAACAAAACTCAGCCATGCTTATTGTGTTGTACGCCCACCTGCAGGAGGACACTCTCTTCCCGGCGTATAGACTCCATGAGAGGACGAATGACTGGGTTGAGCTTTTCCGGGAGCTGGTCCAGGCGAACAAGGAACATCGACAGTAGAGACTGCACCCTGCAAAGTGGGCTCTTTTGTAAGCAGAAATAGCTTGCTTGCTCTACAGAATCGCTTCTCTCTTGCTGTGCTTTGTAGGCACATGCTCGTCAAAGTAAAAAAAAAAAAGGTATTAGCCCAACAGCAAAGACAAATAAAATTCAGAATACCTACATTTAGGACACAATTTTTTTCACTAGTTTACCATCAGAAGATAGAGGGCCTTAAGAAGGGAAGGGTACAAAACAAGCACAGAAATATAGCAATAGTGAAGCAGGCTCAAAATTAGCCATCGTTGAAAAAAAATGTGAGAAAGAAAAACACCAACAGTGTGCAATCACACTGCAAAGTGTTCCGAAAAATGCCGGCTATCAAAGCGCTTCGTTCTTATGGCAGAGGAGGGAAGGTGATTACGGCCTCTGCTTGTTGTCATAGGAAGGAAAGAAAGAGGTTGGTGTGGCAGAAAGGAGCGGCTACATTATTTGGGCCGTTAGCACAAGATGAAAAATAAGCAGCTTCTGACATTAATTTTTCTAGAAAGTACTGAAGAATGACATTACCTCTAGAAAGTACTGAAGAAAATTTTAAGAATGAGCAACAACTGAAAAGCTGTTCTTCTAGCTTCCAGGTGTTAACGCGAGTTATTTCAAACATGCTTTCTACTAAAAGCGACTGAGCTGGATTCCATGTGACATAAATGCACTAAGGTTTTGTGTGGACTGTTGTTTAGTCTTGTTTGGCAGTTTAAGACGAGTTCGTGCTCAGTGAAAGTTTTTGCAAAAACAATAGAACTGTTAACAATGTTGATCCTTTTACTGATAATCCTGAGATAACTTGGGTGACTACACGTGTGCAAGCCCTGAAAAACCCCAAGTGCATTCGTTGTGCCTCTCTAAATGATTCCCTGGCACACAGGAGACAACTCTTGCACAAGAAGACAATGTGTGTGTGTCACGTATGTGGAGAGCATATAAACAGATCAGCTCTTAGTAAACTTTCAACATCAGATGGGGCCCATCATAGAGTTTCATACAATAATACCTAGAAGAAAATCTGAAGTTAGTGTCTATGGGAGCTGACACACATGGCGCTTCAGTGAATATGTGAATGATGGGTAGTACATGGATTTGCCTAATCTTCGTACTTCATGCATCGTTTGGCTTCACATGGCTTGAAGCTTTTTTGTCACAAAACAACAATCGGCAACAGTTGATCAGTTACGCTTCCCCACCTTAATCTTTCAGGCTCACCAATTCGAATCGGATCACAAGTTCACAACTGTTTGTTCTTTATTTCGAAACAAAACTTAAGCACTGCAATAAACAAAGGCACAACTACATTACACCCACAAACACAAAAACTAGACAAATTCGTGTATTACGAATTATTTCAAATGTTGCGGAATGATCGCATTGCCAGAGTCCCTTCTAGGTGATTTTAAAAAACTGACGGCTTTTAGCGTGTGAGAGGTGCTGACACCCCCTGTAAAGTTGTTTGCACCACGTGGCAGACGTGTCTCGCACAGAAGCTGTAATTCGGGGAAGACAACTGCCGGACGATAGATGGCGTTGTGTTCGCGTTGAGTACCACTGTTGGTAGAGTGGTAGCGCCGGCGGTGACCCTTGGAGGAAGGCAGGCCTTGATGGCGGGCGAGAGTTGAGCAAGTGTCTACTGCACATGGCGGCTGCCGCGAACGGTTGTCTCTTGCGGTGGGTCTGCGGTGGACGGCACCGCAGGCCGCCTGCGATAGGCCAACGTGGTGAGTGAAGCGTTGGCGACGCCGCCTTTTGTGTGCTCTCATGCTGTGTGTCTGTTGTATTATTACCTAGCATATTACTAACGAGTTATGTATCGATTTGGCGGACGATATTGTCGTCTAAATTAGTTAAACAAATGTATGTTCTTTGGTTTGTACCGACCGCGTCGTCTGTGTCCGTTCACTCCAAAAGCGTAGCATGGCGCTCGCTCGCCAATTCGAGACCCCACACTGCCTGCCCAACGTGGAGCTCTTGGAGTATCGGACGACAGTTTTTTGCGGTTCGGTATAAGCTTTTGTAAGAGCGGGCGTAGAGTAGGCCTAGGGGTGCTTCTTTGCTAGCTTTTCTTGAGAAGCGAGGGTATTGGTTTTGTGACGTGTTTGAATTTGTCGGCATGTTGAGTATTTTTTTTTGCTCGCAAGTGTTGTTCCTTTTTGGTGGTGTTAGTTTTCAAAACCGTTGTTGAATTGGGACGAGAGCTATGCGGTCTGCATCCTGGGGTGAGCAAGGCCTAGAGCACGTGGTTTGTAGGCCAGGCCCGAAACGACTGAGTACAGAAGCCTCGTGGGTGGTCCAATTTTCTGTAAATAGCTTCTTCTATCTCTTTGGCTGCAGCGATGGCGTAGTGGTTAGAGCATCCGCCTCGCATGCAAGAGGTCCGTGGTTCAAATCCCGGTGCCGCGCAGTTCCCAACTGGATTAAAAAAAAAAATCCGCGTGTTGATGGAACTGCATTAAGATGCCTGGGGTGCGGCCTCACCGGTAACCACCGCCGGGAACGCACTCCCTCACCAGAGAAGGATTGGCCACCCTGGTGCAGTATCTGGCCACTACCTCCCACATGCATACGTCAAATAACTCACGGCCCTCAGTCCCCAGCAGCTGCGAAGCAACTGACCACGGCGGCGGTCAGACCTGCAACGCAGCAGAGGGTGCTAAGAATCTCTGGATCCGGACAGGCCGCCATTGGAACCTGAACTTGGCAAGGTTTAACGCTAAAACCTTCGGACAGGCCGCCATTGAAAGCTGAACTTGGCAAGGTTTAACGCTAAAACCTTATCTAGTGATGGAAGTCTAGCTGTACTATTCGAGGAGCTAGAGGGTGTTAAATGGGACATAATAGGGCTCAGTGAGGTTAGGAGGACAGATGAGGCCTATACGGTGCTACAGAATGGGCACGTCCTTTGCTATCGGGGCCTGGCTGACAGAAGAGAACTGGGAGTGGGGTTCCTAATTCACAGAAACATAGCTGGCAACATAGAGGAATATTATAGCATTAATGAAAGGGTGGTAGGTATTGTAATTTAACTGAATAAAAGATACAAGATGAAGGTAGTACAGGCTTACGTGCCTACATCCAGCCATGATGACGCTTCAGTTGAAAGCTTCTATGAAGACGTGGAATCGGCAATGAGTAAGGCAAAAACACAGTATACTATAGTGATGGGCGACTTTAATGCAAAGGTAGGGAAGAAACAGGCTGGAGACCAGGCAGTAGGAGATTATGGCATCGGCACTAGAAACGCCAGAGGAGAGCTACTAGTAGAATTCGCAGAACGCAATAATTTGCGGATTTTGAATACCTTCTACCGAAAACGAGAAAACCGCAAGTGGACATGGAGGAGCCCTAATGGCGAAAATAAGAACGAAATAGACTTTATAATGACTGCACACCCAGGAATCGTGAAGGATGTGGAAGTGATTGGCAAGGTACGATGCAGTGACCATAGAATGGTACGATCTCGAATTCGCCTAGACTTGAAGAAGGAACAACAGAAAATGATACACAAGAAGCCAATCAATGAACTAGCACTGAGAGGGAAAGTACAGGAATTCAGAGTGTCGCTGCAGAACAGGTACTCGACTCTTAGTGAGAAAACCAACCTTAGCGTAGATAAAATGAATGATAATCTGACGAATATCATTACGGAGTGTGCAGTGAAACTTGGAGGCAGGGTAGTTAGACAGGACACTGGCAAGCTTTCCCATGAAACGAAGAACCTAATTAAGAAGCGTCAAATCATGAAAGTCTCGAGTACAACAGACAAAATAGAACTGGCAGAGCTTTCGAAGTTGATTAATAGGCGTAAGGTATGCGATGTAAGAAGGTATAACATGGAGAGAATTGAACACGCTCTGAAAAACGGAGGAAGCGTCAAAGCAGTGAAGAGGAAACTTGGGATAAGCAAAAGTCGGATGTATGCACTAAGGGACAAAGAAGGCAAAATAACTACCAATATGGATAGGATAGTTAAAATAGCGGAGGAGTTTTACAGAGATCTGTACAGTAGCCGAGACAACCACGACCTTAATACTATAAGAACTAGCAGTAACCCAGATTACACCCCACCAGTAATGATAGAAGAAGTCAGAAAAGCTTTGGAGAGCATGCAAAGAGGCAAAGCTGCTGGTGAAGATCACGTAACATCAGACCTGCTGAAAGATGGAGGACAGATTGTGTTAGAAAAACTAGCCACCCTGTTTACGAGGTGTCTCCAGACAGGAAGAGTACCAGAGTCGTGGAAGAACGCTAACATCATCTTAATACATAAGAAAGGAGATGACAAAGACTTGAAGAATTACCGGCCGATCAGCTTGCTCTCTGTAGTATACAAGCTATTTACAAAGGTAATTGCTAACAGAGTAAAGAAAACATTAGAATTCAATCAACCAAAGGAACAAGCAGGATTTAGAACAGGCTACTCAATAATTGACCACATTCATACTATCAATCAGGTAATAGAGAAATGCTCAGAGTATAACCAACCACTATACATAGCCTTCATAGATTACGAGAAGGCGTTTGACTCAGTAGAAATATCAGCCGTCATGCAGACACTGCGGAATCAGGGCGTAGATGAAGTATATATAAACATTCTGAAAGAAATCTACAGGGGATCAAATGCTACCATAGTGCTTCATAAAGAAAGCAACAGAATACCAATCAAGAAGGGTGTAAGGCAGGGGGACACAATCTCCCCAATGCTATTTACCGCGTGCTTACAGGAGGTTTTCAGAAGCCTAGAATGGGAAAAGTTAGGGATAAGAGTTAATGGAGAATACCTTAGTAACTTGCGCTTCGCCGATGACATTTCATTGCTGAGTAACTCAGGGGACGAATTGCAACTCATGATTACGGAGTTAGACAAGGAGAGCAGAAAGGTGGGTCTTAAAATTATTCTGCAGAAAACGAAAGTAATGTACAACAACCTCGGCAAGAAGCAGCGCTTTGAGATAGGTAATAGTGCACTTGAAGTTGTAAAAG